GTGACTCTGGTCCTTGACCGCTTCCCAGAACAAGGGACAATCCATTCGGAAGTGCCCCTCCTGGTTACAGAAGAAGCATCTTGCGCCTATCTTGATGATTAAGCCACTATAGTACTCGTGTTCCTCCATCTGGCTCATGTCCTCCTCATCTGGTGCATATCCTAGACTCTTCATGCCTTGTTTGTATGTTGTGCAGTCAGCCACGTGGTGATCCGCCGACCCGCAGTTCGCGCATGATCTGCGCTTGTCCATGTCATCTCTAGGTTTGTACCATGACGACCTCTGCGGTTGACTTCCCCCTTGCGTGTTCCTGTTTTCTGAATACGAGTATTTCTTGGGTTTCATCAGCATGTATTCCCTTGATTTCTGTCTCATTTCTTCTGGGGTTGGTGCGCTGTCTTTCGACAATGTGTAGTATGTTGCTAACATTGTCCTTAAGTCGTCACTTTTTACCCCATCAATGAACTTCGAGGCAATGCTAAAGTTTCTTCTGTTTGTCGACTCCTCTGGGTCACTCCTTCTTCTCAAGCTCTCGAGATCATCTAGGAACCGATCTATTGACTCGTCGTCCCTCTGCCTTCTCTTTTCAAATCGCATCATCGCTTGGTGACCCTTCATGCCTGACCCGAATCGATTCAGCAATATCTCGAAGATCTTGTCCGCGGTATCGCGTTCTTCTTCTTTCTTCGCAACCACGCATTTTAATGCTGTGCCTTCTAAATTGCTGAGTATGGCTGTGCATGCTTGTCTTTCATCGTTCAAGTTGTCTTGCTCTAGATGTAATCTCATCACTTCCACCCACGTGTCAATGCATCCATCTGAGTCGTCTTTGAATTCTTTTGGCTTCTTGAATGTTTTTCTTGATTTCCCATCTCTCCTATCGCTCGAGTTAGTGTTCCTCGTGGCGAAGGCCTCTAGAGTCCTGTTCATCATCTCCCAAGTGTTTGCCCATGTCATAGCATCCGGACCTGCGTTGCTGTTAGCTGTTGAGTCCCCCGGACCAGTCGTTGTACTTGACATTCCATTCTTCATGATTGTTTTAGCAGCTGTTGGTGCTATGCTCACCGTATCCCGGGTTAAGGGCAACGGTGTCGATTGCCGTTTGTTCCTTTGTGGTTCCACAAAGTCAACTCTGGTGCCTTGCGTGCGATCCGCTGCCGGTCTTTCTTGTGAGGTAGAATTGCTCAAGATTGCATCCAATTTCGCCTGTATTGCACACGAACTCTCGGCCTGATTTTTGCTCATTGTGTCCATTCTCTTTTCCAGGCTACCTAATTGGCTGTTGACATCATCATATCGGTTTTTTAACTGTTGCAAATCTTTTTTGATGTTCTTATCTCGTTCTTCATTGGTGGTTTCTACATTATCTGACATCTCCTTGAGTCTCTCTTCTGTTGCCTTGGCCAGGTTAAAATAACTATCCAGTTACTCGTTTTTGTTGTATCTTAATTCTTTTCTTATCACTTCTCTGTCCTCTTCGCTGTGCTTCAGCTTTTTGTCGATCTGATTCAGTTTCGCCATCAAGTCACCTAGCTCAAGAGTAGCCTCTTCATGGTCAGCCGTCGGTCTTTCTTCGGCCGTCGCTTCTGCTCTAGTTTGTTCCTCTCTCGGATTGGCTTCTGTCGTCTTCGTGCTCACTGTTCCAAATGTTCGTGCTCTTTCAGCTTTTGGTTCTTCAGTCACGTTCTCTTTCGTTTTTATTCCGACCATCATCGCCAACCTTTCTGTAAAAGATGTCTTTTTTACTTGAGAGTCTTCTTTCACCGTTTCTTCGGTGTTGCCTATTGCATCTTCCACGTTGTCTATTGGTGAGAATTCTATGGGTTTCGAGTTTGGATCTTCTGCATTGGGCCTTGGAGTTGACTCCGTCGCTATTTTCCTTGTTTCATCAACACTTTGATCAGGTGTCTCTAGATCAATCTCGATGGTGGGTTCTACTCGTTCCCCTTCCATGCCTTCTCTTGCTCTCTCCGTTGTACTCCTTGTGCTGACCATATTAACTGAAAAGCTCTTCTTTGTTATCTTCGGACCCATTGACGTTGTTTTGCGTAGCGACGAATTATACTTTGTCTTTGCTTCGGTAGATCTTTTTTCAGCTACCGGTACCCTGCTCCGCCTCATTATTCCTATTTACAATTGCTCTTATTTACAATTTTACTATATACACAATCCTATTCTAAGAATAAAATCTTTCGAGAAGAAAAAATTTCTTAAAAAAAAAAAAAAAAAAAAAATTTTATACAACGTGGTGAAAACCTTGTTTCAGTTCTCTTTATTAATTTTTCGAGAAACTTTCCTTATTTGTGGTCTCAACCGTACCTGGTTCCAATTAGTATTGTTCTATCTTAATTCTGTCTTAAAATACTTCTTGTAATTTTACTTCAATTTTTATACTGTCCCAAGACTTCCAATTGCCGTCCCTACTCTTCTTTGTACCGTCCCAAGACTGTTCGGTACCGTCCCATTACTTCCCGGCAGTGTCCCAAGACTCTTGTCCAAGACTACTGTCCCAAGGCTAGTGTCCCAAGACTACCGTCCCAAGACTAGTGTCCCAAGACTAGTGTCCCAAGACTACTGTCCCAAGACTAGTGTCCCAAGACTAGTGTCCCAAGACTACTGTCCCAAGACTAGTGTCCCAAGACTAGTGTCCCAAGACTACTGTCCCAAGACTACTGTCCCAAGACCCTGTCCCAAGACCCTGTCCCAAGACCCTTGTCCCAAGACCTTGTCCCAAGACCCTGTCCCAAGACCCTGTCCCAAGACCCTGTCCCAAGACCCTTGTCCCAAGACCCTGTCCCAAGACCCTGTCCCAAGACCCTTGTCCCAAGACCTTGTCCCAAGACCCTGTCCCAAGACCTTGTCCCAAGACCTTGTCCCAAGACCTTGTCCCAAGACCCTGTCCCAAGACCCTGTCCCAAGACCCTGTCCCAAGACCCTTGTCCCAAGACCTTGTCCCAAGACCCTTGTCCCAAGACCCTGTCCCAAGACCCTGTCCCAAGACCACTGTCCCAAGACTGTACTGTCCCAAGACTGTCCCCAGACTGCTCTGTCCTAAGACTTCTTTGGCACTGTCCCAAGACTGTTGACAAGTGTCTGGGTGGTGGGACTTCTTCCCTCTTCGTTATGGGGACTTCTTGATTCACTGTACCTTGTACCACCACTCAAGCTCTAGTAAAATTTTCCCAAAATCCTCTCTTAAAAGCCAAATGCTGACCCCCCTTTTTCTTATTTCTTTTTAATTACCTCTATTTCAATGTTCCAAGCAACTTTAGACCAAAACTTGTGCGCAGGTATCTTGTGATCACCTGTTCGTGTAAAAACTAAACACAAATCCTCACCAAAATGCAACAAAAATCCAAGCTAGAAAAAATAATAAAAACAGAAAGATGAGCCCACCTAAAATTCAAAGGTGACAAATGTCTACCTTCTATCTAAAAAAATGTCTGGTACCTAATTGTCACGCGTTTCCTTCCCCCCTGCTAGCGATCTTATGGGGTATTACAAAAACTGTCTATGTCCCTTCCCCCCTACCAATCCGACCAGGGTACCTTCCTTAACTCGGGTTCAAATTTCGATATCCACCTAATATTACCAACGCGTGTTAATGTCTAATGTAACTAAGTCAACGATGTCGACTAGTTAGTTACTCTAATTTCCCCCTTTTTACAATTTACAACCGCCAACCTCTAACTTAACCAGCCCCCCTTCTAACCTCCCCCCTTTTTAGCCCCCCTTCTTAAGCCTAAAATTACCTTAAGCGCCGGGTGCTAAACCTCTCAAGAGAAAACCGTAGACCTGTCTCCAGGCCTGCTCAAGTAAAAACGTTCCTCAAAACCGGGGGATGTCGCTTATCCTATTTTACACTTATCTCCTATAATGTAATGTGGATTTTAACGATACCCGTTCTGCCCAACTTGAGAACTCGAGAATTGCCAAATCCTTCTTGGCTGCTTTCCCACTCGACTGGTCACCTGTTCCAGTCCAGTCTCCTATTGGTTCAGCTCAAGTGCTCCTGAACCACTTTCCCACTCGGCTGGTCACCTCTTCCAGTCAAGTCTCCTATTGGTTCAGCTCAAGTGCTCCTGAACCACTTTCCCACTCGGCTGGTCACCTCTTCCAGTCAAGTCTCCTTGTTGTCCAGCTAAGTTCCAAGCTATCTAAAAACCCTTGACAACGCCCCACACTCGGGCTCTTTATTGAGGTTACTGGGTTAAATTGCTAGGTTGATCGAAACGATCGAACTTGTAAAACAGTATGGGTATACTATTTAATTAATATAAAGGTTTGATCCAACTAATCTGGTGTCAAAGTCACTGTCTTTTTTCGTTTTATGGTTTTTGTTTCGCTTTTTGTCTTTTTGCTTGTGTTTTTGTCCCCCTAGTTGCCCCCCTTTACTCGGTTAGCTAAGCCTCGTTCGGAGAGCGTACCAGGAAGTTTTCTTGAGTTTTCTTAAAAAGCTATCACGGTACAACCGGAAGGTTTGCACGTTCCTGTCGAACCGTACCGCCGGTACTCTAGAATGGGCATTCAGCCCGAAGCTGTCTCAAGTGGGTTCGACTCCGTAGTCTTTATGTCGTAAACACCCAGGAGCGCCATAAAAACACTATGTAACATTCGTCTACTGCAGTCACACATGAGGCTTAAGAAAAATAGGCCCTATAACCATTGGCTCAAGAGTCAGGGACACTATCTCTTGTGTTTTTGTACCTCAAATCAGTCGGAGCCAATTCGGTTCGCTTGTGACATGAGACTACGACCCGTTACAGCTTAAAGGCTACTACTAAAATATCCCCCCACTCTAGAATTAGAAACGTCCCCATGCTTAGGTCTGTAGATACCCAAAATACATGAACGCCATTAAAAACCGGGTTGGAACAATCCGTTAAGTTACTTTTTATTAGACAGTGGAACTTTGATCCATTTCAGATGGATCAACCTAAAACTCGCCTTACCTCAACATAACTTGTGATAAACTTATTATGTTGTGATAAACTTAAAATGTTGTGATAAACTTATTAAATAGTTTCCGAAATATGTCATGCAATGTTGAATGGCCAGGAGGTGGTTGAGGTGTTCACTTTCTACATATTCACATTCTACACCTTTTGAACTGTTGACATGTCTTGAAATTGGAAAATGAGACAAATCGAAAAATTGAATTTCTGATGCCGTATCAGCCCCAAGAGCGAGCAAGATGTGGTAACGTTGATTGCAGATGGGAGTATGTCCGCAAGAAGGGTGTGTATTGTGAAACATGCCAACAGTGGTTCCATTACAGCTGCGCAGGGACTAACGAAAGCATAGTGGAACAAATACCCGAGGACATGCCTTTCAAATGCCGTCAGTGCGTTAAACGACCTGAAAACCCCGAAACCACGAAGGTCCTCGAAGCACTCGACAAGACTATTCGTGACCGAGTAAATGTCCTAAGGAGAGTCCCGAAAGCCAGTAGACGGAATCTAGCAGAACTTTTCAGTAACATCCTCGAGAAAATTTGTGCAGACCCAGACGATGTAGCAAACTGGAACAACATGATGAATTTAGCGCCTACATGCCTGCGTGTACCCACCAGAACTGGAGCCAAACATCAGAAATCACTTGCCACACAAGTGAGAAAGAACATAGTAGCCTTCCCAAACACCACCGCAGACGAAAATCGAAAGGCTGTTAAAAAGAAAGGAGGCAGTGATACTGCTCGCTTCGTGTCCCAAAAGATTGACGATGGAAACATCAAGGCAGCAATTAGAATTTTGGCATCTAATGATTCAGTTCTCCGACCCAACGACGAAACATATGGAAAATTAAAAGACAAACATCCTGAACGGAAAGTGACGGACACTGAAATCCCAGGTGAGATTGAGACCCCGCCGTGTGTTGTCTCATCAGCCACAGTTAAGAAATGTATCAAGTCCTTTCCCTCTGGTTCCGCTCCCGGCCCAGACCGTCTTTTGCCCCAGGTCCTCAAGGATATGATTGATGACTCTGCCGGTGAAGCGGATAACAGATGTTTGAGCAACCTCACAAAATTCATTAACACTGTTGTTTTAGCAGGACGGACTCCCACCTTTATTCGGCCTTACTTTTTTGGAGCGAACCTTTCTGCTTTATCAAAGAAAGACAATGGTGTCCGGCCTATTGCAGTTGGCAATACGGTGCGCAGGCTTGCGTCTAAGTGTGCTGGTTCGGCTGTTTTCAACGAGAGGAGGAGAGATTTCGGTACAAGGCAACTTGGCTATGGCACGCCTCTAGGCGCAGAAGCAGCAGCACATGCCGTCAAGTCATACATCGGCAGCAGCGCAATTACACCTGACCATGTTCTCCTGAAAATTGATTTCGCCAATGCCTTTAATTCCGTGAGTCGTGATAAAATCCTCAACAAAGTGGCCTTAGAGAGACCCTCTATTTTTAAGTACACCGAGTCTGCGTATGGGCAACCATCCAAATTATTCTACGGCAACTTCACCATCAGTTCCGATGAAGGTGCACAACAAGGAGACCCGGAAGGACCACCAGTTTTCTCTGATACGATCAATGATATGGTGGGAAATGTGGATACCGAACTCAACATCTGGTTCCTGGATGACGGAAACATTGCAGGCAATTGGCAGCGTGTCCTGTGGAATTTTAGCAGGATCATCGAGGAATCGAAGAAGCTTGGTTTAGAGATACACTCGAAAAAATGCGAAATAACCTTTCTTGGACAGCCATCCATAACTCGTCAACAAGAAATCCTTGACCGTTTCCGGACTATCAGTCCCTTTACCGAAGTTACGAACATCGAAGACCTCGTTATCCTTGGAGCCCCGATTGGACAATTAGCTATAGAGGACTGTATACGACAGAAAACAGAGTCCCTGGAGAGAATGCGTTCTAGACTCGGAGAATTGGAAGCCCACCATGCCCTTTTTATGATAAAGAACTCGTTTGCGCTACCCAAACTCCTATATTTCCTTCGTACAGCCCCTTGTTTTCTATACGAGCAGCTCCTTCAAAATTACGACAACACCCTCCAGAAATCAGTGGAAGAAATCTGCAACATCACTCTAGATCATATATCTGCCTCTCAGTTACATTGGCCATCCACTCTGGGAGGCTTGGGTATTAGTTCGGCATTTATCACTGCACCATCTGCGTATTTAGCTTCAGCGGAGAGTTGCCGGACTATTATTGCCTCTATCCAACCAGACGGATTGGTGAATGTTCCAGTTACGATCGGACAGGCTTTTGAGAAGTGGCAACAACAGAGTAACTGTGTCGAACGGCCCGTCCATCCACACGTTCAAAGCAATTGGACAGGTCCCGCCTTTAAACACATGCTAGCTACCACTCTCACTTTGGTAGACAACAGCAACCGAAAGAGACTAATGGCCTTTCAAGGCAAGGAAGCAGCAGCATGGATTAACGCGCTTCCATCGCAAGCTCTAGGGCTGAAGTTAACAGACAGTCAATTGAGAATTGCCGTCGCCACTCGTTTAGGCAGTCCAGTCTGTGCCACACACCGTTGTGTTTGTGGCTCGACTGTAGACAATTCAGGCCTTCATGGTCTCTCATGCCGGAAAAGTGCTAGCCGGCACGCCAGACACACAATGGTCAACAACATTATCAAACGAACATTGGCCCTAGCGGGTTACCCTTCCGTTCTGGAACCCCCTGGAATGTGTCGGTCTGACGGCAAGAGACCAGACGGTGCTACTTTAGTTCCGTGGGAGAGAGGACAAACGCTTGTCTGGGATGCAACTATTGTTGATGCCCTTGCACCCTCTAGGGGAGATCCCTCTGGGACAGCTGAGTCTGCAGAAACCTTAAAGAACGCGAAGTATGAAGAACTCACAAGGCGAGGACATATTTTCCAAGCTGTTGCTTTCACAACACAAGGACAGTGCAGTAAGAACACGTCCTCCTTTATCAAAAAGCTCGGAAGGCTCATTAAATCCCTTACAAACGACGACCGAGCCTCAGGATTCCTTAGACAGCGGCTTTCAATGGCTATACAATCAGCCAATGCCGCCTGCGTTTTGGGCACGATTAGAGTCTATGACAAGCTTGATGAGATATTCTATTTATAATTTTTAGACGATAGCGTTAACGCTTTATTTTGTTTTTATATTTGATTAGTTCAAGTTTTTCATTTACAGTTATAAAACACACTCTAGAAATTTAAATTAGTGCTCACATTGTAGCACGCTCAAGAACCAGGAAGTAAATAAGTCGGTGAGCAACTCAAGAATCAATAAAGTAACTAAAATGAGTTTAATGTTAGTCAGTTTTAATAACAAGAACAAGTTTTTACTCTAGACTGTAAGTTCTCGTGAACCATTGGGACACTCTAGCTGTCCACCTTTCCACCGAAGGTTCACTCTGGTCCAGTTAATAATAGTACTCCAATCACAACAATCCAGTTCGTGGGAATGCGCTCGTCTCTGTTTTAGATGGGACAGCTCTACTCTCGATTATTATTGCTACTGAAATTACGAATAGCAATTTCCCACTGATTTTTCTAGCAACTTTCCCGCGATTGTCACTCGATCGTTCTTACTTCTCTTTTCTGATTTTCAGTTATCGCGAGAAAATCGTGCATGACAGGTTCCATTCGAAATTTTGAAAAACTAAATTTCACTCCAAAATCAAGTGTTTTTTGCTTCTCTCAAGGTCAAACTTCCGAATATGACCGACTGGCACATTTTGTGTCACTAAGATATTACTCAAGGTACAGCTTGCGGAGCTCCGAAAAACCAGTTTTCAACGTAAATAAAACATATTGGGCATCTTACGACCAATGGTTTTTCAATAGAGTGGTCAGAAGTGCAAATAAACTCCATGAGAAGACCGACATCAGTTTATTTGATTCGCAAATTTCATTCAAGCGCCGTCTCAAACATTTCTTTCTGAACAATGACTGGTTTTAAGTTTTGTTTTTATTTTCTCATATTGTTTTTATACAATTAAAGTCTTTTACTACTACTTACTACTACTACTACTACTTTTCCATATATGAAAATTGTATGACTAGCATTTTTGGTCAACCCGGGGTAGAGATGGTTAAAAGCATGCGAAGCTGTGTTTAGACGCTAGCCAGTCGCTTTAGAACCTAGCTTTGTTTTCCGTCGGTGTTCACTTCCGGGCGAATGTTATAGATGTTTTAGTCCCATCGAAAGAAACTCGAAATTTTTGCTTAAAAGTAAATTTCAAACGTTTTCGCAACTATGTGCATCGTCAGGATTTTTAGAATAAACTAATCTAAATGACGATAAAACCTCAATCTTTGCCGCCCATTTTGATAGAGCTATAGCATGCTAGGTGAAAGTGAAACCCAGTCACTGCCTAATGGTCTGTCATGTTTCTCAGAGAGCTTAGCTAATCTTGGCAGACGACTGATCGACCTAGGCTATAGCAGTAGATAAATTATAACGTTCTTTTCTCTATCCCTCTCCTCATTAGATATCCAGCTTTTTCGGGGTTCTCGGGGGGGGGGGGGGGGGGGGCGTTAGACAGTGCCGAAGTTAGAGAGTGCCGAAAAAGGCGGGAAATATTGGAACGCAATTTAAGAGGCTAGCTTTTGGCGGGAAAATTAATAATGACACTTGAAACTTGTTCAGACTCAATTTTGGCGCCAAAATCGATGAGCAAACAAAACTTTCTTTTCTTTTCTCAATTAGTTCACGACAAATAAAATTGTTCAGACTCAATTTTGGCGCCAAAATCGATGAGCAAACAAAACTTTCTTTTCTTTTCTCAATTAGTTCACGACAAATAAGTCAGTTTCTGCACTCTTTAACAAATTTTCGGCACTCTTTAACAAATTTTTGTTTTCGGCACTCTCTTACTTCGGCACTGTCTTACCCAACCTTCTCGGGGTCTTTCTTGACAATATTGCATTAGTTTTTATCAAAAAATGTCAATAGTGGCAGATTTTTCAAGGCTATATATTTTTTTGGTGAATATGTATCAAAAATTATCAGTCATTTTTTTTGCGCTTTTCTTACCTATGTTTTATCGCTTTCCTTTCTGATTTGACTTAAGATCAACACAATAATTATTTCAGGTTAACATGTAAAGAATTCACAAAAATGCCTCCAAAGAAAACCGATGCGACGAAACCCTTGAAACTGGTCAGCCCATTTGGAGGAGAAGCAGCACTGTTTAAGTGGCCACTAGAGCATAATGATGGTGGAAATGAAATTGTTGATATCATGAAAAGTGTTTGCGAGGATTATCCAGAACTGGCACTGCCCATTAAAAATCACATCATTAAAGATTTCGATTCCACAAATTACGAATCTGTCAAAAGTTGCTGCGATAAATTCAATCGAGCCATTGCACAGTTGAACCTACTTGTAAGTCGTTTGGCGAATTAATTTCTTAGTTTATGTGATTAAGCTTGTATAATATATTCTTTGCTTCAGTTTTCGGGAACATATCGACCCGGTAAACATAGAGCTAACCCTAGCAGAAAGCTCTTGAAACATATCATTCAACTATCCTACAACAGAGCTGTAGACGATCCTGAAAAGTTGAACGAGTATGAACCCTTCTCGCCACAAGTCTATGGCGAAACATCGTTCGACCTCATCTGCAAAATGCTGGATGATGTCCCCGTGAAAGAGACGGACACCTTCATCGATCTAGGAAGTGGAGTTGGACAGGTTGTCTTGCAAGTCGCCGCGTTGACAAACTGCAAGATGTGCTATGGGATTGAGAAGAGTCAGATCTGTGTCGAGTATTCGGCTAAATTGGAAAAAGAATTCAGATTCTGGATGAATTGGTACGGCAAAGTGTACACGGACTTCGAGGCTAGTAGTCTCAAGTATATTTGCTTTGACAATTTTTGTGTATTAGTTTCTGTTGAGTTGAAATAGATTTTTGCTTCAGTTGATTAAAGGTGATTTTCTTGACAAGAACTACGCACAAATAATTACCAATTGTAGCCTTATATTTGTCAACAACTTCGCGTTCGGACCGAATGTGGATCACCAGTTGAAGCTCAGGTTTCAGAACCTGCACGATGGTACCAGAATTGTAGCCTCTAAGGCATTCGCTCCAATTAAGTTCCGCGCTTCGGGTAGAAACATGTCAGGTTTGTAGTCTTACCACTTTCTGATCGAAGTAATGAGTTTTTTCTTCTCTAATCTAGTAATATGGGTGTTCATTTTTTTCAGACATTGCCTCCATCATGCGGGTTTCAGAATTGGCTACGCTCAAAGGATCGGTATCGTGGACTGAAAATCCAGTTTCCTACTTTCTTCATGTCATAGATACTACACTGGTAAGAGAATGTAACTAGCATCAAATGATAAGGGTACGAAACTTGTAATAGAGAAAATAATCTATTATATAGAAAAAATAATCTATCTATTATGTATTTGAGTGCGGGCTTCACTATCTCACCATATTTAAGTTTTTTCAATCTATTGTTTTTGCATGTTAAACGGAAGAATTTTTCACATTTAATTACGTTGAAATAAAAAATTAATGATCGCAAATGGTATACGTACGTACCGTCTATTGAAAGTAAAGAACTAAGTTAAACAAAAATCTCTTCATGGATATAGTGATTTTGCAAATGAAATCGTTTAAAAAGTTGTTTTTCGTAATAGTAATTGAAAAGAAATTTAAAATTGAAATTAATTTTATTGTTCAATTTTTGAAATAAAAAGCGTCGTTGGACACCCCTGTCTTTTGTTACGGTTAAATTTATTTCGTGTTTTTTTTTTCAAATGTTTGATATACAAGGAATATTCACGTTTAATAATCTGTTTGAAGCAATAAATGTTATTGAGAATAATAGAATAATCGTGTTTGGGCTCAAGTTCAGTCTTGAATTAAGAATTTTGATACCACGAAAAATCAAGCACAGTGAACTTTACCATATTGTTTTCACAAGCAATGCTTGTGTTATAGTATGAACTATCTTTTTTATTAAAATATTGTTGCGATAGAGTGTGTTCATTTTGAAAGTGTTCATTTTGATCAATAACCAGCCATTAAGTACAACCAATGCTAAGGATTTTACCACATACTATTATTGTTCTGACTTTCGTCACGAAAGTAGCGGAATATTTGTGCTTGGGGTGGTTTTTTCTTCAGACAAATGTCGACTTTTTAACTAGCCGTTTTTGACGGGATTTTTTTGTTTTATTCAAAATAATTGTTGTCCTGAGCTTAAGTTTGGAAAGATATTTTACCTGTGATCATTTATCCGAAAATTATGGGGCTTTAGAAATTGCCGTTTTGGCCAATTTGGGACAATTAACGTGCTATGTATTTCGCGCTATTACACGCGTAAGCTGAGATTTAATCCGTCATAGAAATTGTTCCAAATTGGTGAAGGAAGCTTATTTGCCATAATTGATTGGTTACTAGGAGCGAAATTTGTCACTTTGTACTTGATATAGCGTGTGAGGGGATGATTTTCAAAAAAAATTTAAATAAAAATAAACTTTAATTTTTATTTTATTACATTTAATTTTTTCATGTTTTTACTGCTACATAGACTGCTGTATAAATTGAGGCATGATAGTTGGTAAATTTTTTTAATCAAATTAACTGGTATTGCTAATGCGTCATAATTGGCGTGCGCCTATTAGGAAATTTTGTACACTCAAAGTTTTACTCATTCAGTTTTTCTCAGTAGCGTTATCATATTTTTGCTTGTGTATGCGAAGTACAACTTCGCCTCTGTGTAAAAAATCTGTCCTAACGTATATCTGTCTTAAGCTCTAAACATACATCTGTAAAAAGAAAACAGCCATATATATCATTTAAATAGATTTATGAAGGGTAGATGCAGTGCAAGGAAAACAGATTGTCTGTCACGACTACTAATATCTTACTATCAATACAATTAGAACAAAACAATGCATAAACAGAATTTTTTCAGAGAACTGCCCAAATTGCAGATGAGTTTTTCAAAAGTTCTCTGATAGTTTTACAAGTAATACGCCCGGAACTTCGTTGTTTTGCGCCGTATTTTGGGACTCTAATTGTAGTTGTCTCTTCAGCTTGAGAATTTCTTTGAGCAACAGAAAGTTAAATCCTCGTCCAGGAGTGGATCAGATGACACAGGATCCGAGAAGACAGACAGCTGCGAAAGCAACGCAGGAGGTAGGAGTGATGTGGATTCTCCTCCTATATCCGTGGCAGCTGCGGAAAACAATGAGAAAAATGAAGCCCCTGCTGCCTCAACGAGCACTGCAGTTGCTAATCAACCGAGTGTCACAACTTCCAAGAAGACCACAGGATCACAAAGCGCGAAGATCTCCCGCAAGTATCCCAGAAGGAGCTCGCGTAAAAGTATCTTAAGCGCTGTGCGTAACATAGCAAATGATAGTTCCTCCTCGACCTCTTCGGGAAATGAGAAGAAACCCCTGTCTGAGTTTGCTGAATCGGCATCCAAGCAAACAGTCACGACTTCGCCGTCAACACGCGGTGGAGCTCACGGACGTCGGAAGCCAACTAGAAAATCTACGGCAGCAGTTTCGCCAGTTTCTGAATCCGGGTCCAAACGCGGAATGTCTCCATCGGCGGCCAAGCACCGAAAGATGTCTCCTAGAGTGGCAAGTGGACCGACAGCTACAGAAAGTGGCTTGGAACTTCTACATTCACACTCTGTAATGTCAACGAAAGGAGAATTGTCGGATTTTCCTGTTAGTAGCGGATCTTTCAGTCCAAAACGGGAACAATCTGGATCTAGATCTGCAACTTACAAAGAGTTGAATGTGAGAGTCGAAGACTTGGAGGCTTTGCCGACGCCTGTGCCCAGCAGCGGAATTGCAGAAAATAAAAAAGAAGAATCTGAACCCATTTATGTTCCTGGACTTGAAGAGTTTATGGCAAACATGAAAAACAAGTATATAGAGTTTGTCGAGCAGCTGCAGAGTCCTCAGTACGGTGCAATGTTGCAGCTCAAGATTCAAGAGGAGAGGGAGCGAGGACAGTTGCTGAGAGGGAAGATCCAAGAGGTCAAAGACGACATCCGTGAGATGGAGAAGGATTTTGTTCAGTTGCTGCACTGTCGACTCAAGGAGGTTGGTACATCGATTAAGTTACGTAATCTGTATACCGAGAAAAGGCAATGGAAAATGGCTGTTGTAGTATTTGATTTCAGCTTGTCGATTTCTGATAAATGGTTAGACATGAAGTCAGTTTCATTCTTTTAAACTAATCCTGTTGCGATAAAAAACACTGTGCTGAATCACAGCGAAATATATCGAGTGTGAGTGAGGTTTGTTTTCCTAATTCTGGAAACTTGTGCAGTGGGGAAAATGAGAACGTATTTGTATCGATTCGAGTTGATAATAGATATAAGACCAATTGCTGACAACATGTCTAAAAAAAGGTATTCAAAACATTTTCCGTTTTGAACTTTTTCTCAGCCAAGTGAAATTCTCATGTGTGTGTTTGTGTTAGCTCGGGATAGATGCGCGTACACCTGTGGAGTTTGTGGAGAAGGCGAAGGGCATCATAAGTGTGCATGAGACACTGAGGATGCGCACAAGGGAGGAGCAGGAGTTGTACAATAGAGAGTACGAGATGCTGCAGAGGAACATAGAGGCGAGGAGGCAGGAGTACGAGGAGATAGCACACAGGCTGCACAGGGAACAAGGCACCGTGCTGGTAAGACAATGACCACTCATCTTCTAGTCCGACAGACATAAGACAAGTGCGCGACAAAAGGAAGTTTAAAATATAATAAATTTACCCTACAATGCTTGGAAGACATGTAAAATTCTTTTTTCTTCACTTATGATTTTTTTTATCTTTTAATTGCAAATTAATCAGGAAAGCACAATCTTAAACAGATGTCTTTTAAACAACAAAAATCGGTACGTAATATTTAGAAAAATACCTAAATGATAATTGTTTTAAATTTTGCTGAACATTTATCATTCTAAAAATGAAAATATCATAGTTCTTTCTTTCTAGCCGCCGTTTGACGTCAATTTGCTGTTAAACGTGAAACAACAGCCTCCTCAGTTTCACCATCAGTCCAGTAGCAGTGCTGCACGTGCAGGAGGAGGAGGGGGGACGTTGTCTTCTTCGCAGATGTCGAGCGAGTCCCCATCTGCCGATATCTCTCCCTCGGGAAGAGTGGACCACCTACTAAAAAGATCCGACATAATCGACCTGGACACCCTCATTGCAACTCAGCTTCAGCAGAAGTAGGCATTTATATCGATAAGTATTATGACGGTGTCGGGCGTGTAACGTGTTTCAGTAAGAGCTTTAAAAATCGATTGAGTACTGTTTATCTCCACTGTTAATGAATAGTGCGACTAGTGCATCTAGTAGACGAGAACGTACATATGCTGCAAAAGTTTCGACTGGGTGTTTTTTTTTTCATGACAGCAGGGCCAATTTTGCTAAATTTTCAATAGTTCAACTTTTAAAATAGTTCAATTTTCAATAGTTCACCTCAGTAATGGCCTAATTTAATTGCTGATTTCTTCCAGATTTTTGAATACTGTTTTATGATTGTCATAAATAATTTCGAGCATTAGTTTTTTTCGAAATGAGGAATTGTATGGGATTTGTTTCAAGTTTTTTTGATGAGATGGTTTGGAAATTTTTTTATACTTTTTGCAAAATAGTAATTCTCAAAAACTTTCCTACCGGTTTTCAAAAAAAGGGTATTAATAAAAGACTGCCTACTCCACTGTGTGCCTGCATACTCCCCTAGTATCCCCGGCATACTTCCATTTTCATACATAAAGTTATGGCCCTCGGAAAACTCAATTTTTTTTGATTTTTTTTCCAAAACTACCCTCCCAAGACTTCTAGAATTTGGGTTCATTCCAAAGAACGGGTTTTGGAAGCTCCTTTCTATACGCGACCTTTCCAAATTTAACTCGAAGTTAAGACCCTCGGAAAAGTCAAAATTTTTTGACATTTCTCCAGAACTACCCTCCGAAATCCAAATATTTGGGTTCAATCGAAATTACAGCTTACGTGAATTTCCTCTGCATGAATTTCTACGCATAATTTTTTTTACACAGAAAGCTATGATTCTCGGAAATAACAAATTTTGCCGAATGTCAAACTTGCTAAAACCTGATCATAGGTTTAATCGAAACAACAATTTGTTGAAAGACTGCCTCTATAATTTTTTTTTCTAGAAAAAAGGTATGGCGTTCAAAAATGTCAAAATTTTGAAACTTTGACCGTTTTTTTTTTGAAAATTTTTGACACAATTGCTTGACGGCAAAGGCTTGTGATTTGAATCCGGTCGGGACCAGTTCAGCTTTGTCTGTGAAATATCTGCCCGCACTGGAACGCAAAACTTGATATGCTGCTTCAAATCTCCCACTGAAATGTCACGCAGATTGTTTCTCCGTGAGGAAGGGGGTCACAGAAGATTTTACGAACAACGTTTTCCCAGTTTCAAATTAATTAGCCGAACATACGCAAAATTGCTGTTTCTTATGACTGAAACATAGTAAAGGTGGCTGTCAGGATAATAAGGCACTAGTGAACGCTAAGATGACAGTTAAGTGCTTCAGATAAATCAATTTAAGTGTCGTAGTCGATATCTTGGGCAAAAATTGCCACATTTTGTATTGATCCGGTCTACTCAAATTGGATTATTTTTTATCAATACAGGGATTGTGATATTAAAAAGCTTTATTTTACGAGGTACGTTGAAGAAAGCTGATTTTTTAATCAATACAAGTCAGGTTTTTTCAAAAGCTATGTGGAATGCAAGCATGGGCGGTACCGACTCTATTACAGTGAATTAATTGCTGATCATTTGCAGTCATGTGTCCCTAGCCAAGATTAGTGGCGCAGTGTTTGTTTCCAAGTTCGAATTTAATATTCAGCAATAGGCCTGGTAATTTATCGCAGATGATGCTAGATAATTTTTGTTACAGGTCATTAAAAGCTTATCGAAATCAGCAGTTGAAGGTTTTTCGATCGATTAGTCGATTTTTTAGCGTGTGCATGCGAAGGGAAATTTGTCTTCTGTGTTTAGTAGTAACAATGGAGATTCGTCACATTCTATGTTTCGACTACCCAACTCGGCATATTCGAGTGGTACAGGAACAGCAGCTCCCCCTGTTAATGTGTCCATGTGCAGGGGATGCGGGGGAGTGGCAGCACAGAAGAACATCCCCGTCTCCCCTGCATCGGGGTTCTGTGTAGAATGTGAGCAGGGATCTGTAGGTGGTGTTGGAGGCTCGCATGGAAAACAGAGCGCAACAGGAGGTTCTCCGAGGACCCACCATTTGTTGCAGAGGTCTCTAGAGACAGCTCTGAACAACACAGGACGCATGCCATCTAGTTCAGGTGAGCATCCATCTTGAGACGCTTTTGTGCAACAGCCTTTTTACAAGTGAGAAAAATACATTTTAATGTTTCACACTGCGTCTCCGCGAAAGGTGAATTGACTAACGCATGAAATCTGGCGAAAAATGAATGAAGTTTTGGTCATCCCCTGCTTAACTTTTTACTGTACATGATTTAATTTGAACAACGAAGGCTCACTCGGTTTATGGAGGAGATAGTCCTTTTTGCAGAATTGTTGTTTGTTTGATGATTCATTGGTACGTCTTTCTGATTTAGATGAGCTGGGATCTAACCAGGGACGAACTGGATCATGCTTCAGTATCGACAGTCTAGTCTCTCCAAGGGTAAATGAAATTGATGATAAATACATGCAGTTATCTAGTTCTAAAATTTAGTTCAAATGTGAAAAACATGCTTTTTACTGGTTGCATCACATTATTCAGTGCATTTTCAATCTGCTCGATTCTAAAAGATATCTGAATGTTCTAATAAGTCAGTGCTGATGAAACTGGTTGCTTCTTCATTTTGACTGTTGATTGAAAATTCGACCAAAATTTTTGTTAAAAGCGATTTATAAGTCGCATTTTGTATAGGGAACGGTGTGATAAGAATGACTTCCGATCGCAAACCGTTGATAATTCTAAAAGAATCTTACTGTGTCCTTACGCTTCATTTACGATCTATGGACAAAACATGGCTTGCTGTTATCAGTTGCGGGAAAAATCTGAACTGTTTTAGCTTCACCAAGCAGTGGATTCACAACTCAGTTCTACAGGTAAATATCTTTCTATAATTGCTTAATAGAAAAATTAAGTCTTAAGTTTTTGATCCATTTCATTTTCAGGACTTCAACATTCCGATCACGGAAGTTCCCATCCTTCTAATTTCTGTCTGCCTCTCTCTGCTACTTTATCCTCCCCTATCCTGAGAGCAAATCTTACGAATCCCCCCATTCAGCAAAAGACGATGGGAGACATTGAAAAGATGGACGAACGCTCTTCTGGCAGTCTCGCCCACGAAGGTATGGCTGCAAAGAGATACCAAATATCCCCGATAACACGTAGTCCGTCGGCTAGTGGTACGAATGTGATTCAAAGGGCCATGAAGCACGCTCTATCATTTTCGAAATTCGACGAATACAACAAGAAGCGAGGTAGTTGGGATCTATCGCCGTCGCATCCTAAAACGCTGCAGTTCACCGAAATTGATACGATTAGTCAGTTGGTTGAAAAAGTAGCCGTGTCCACATGCAAGTTAACTCCTGAGGAGCAAGAAGAACTGTGTTACAATTGCATTTTGGTCGGTCATTTGCCTAATGAGCTGCGCCCTTACTGGGAGGACCCAAAACTTTCAGGAGGAGAATATGGAACTCCAGCGAAGGTGCAGGCAATGTCGAACCAACAGGCGTCTGGGATTTCTCCAAGTTTTGTTTCGAGTACAGTTACGATACCCACATCCTTGTCATATTCGGGAAATTCACCAATGAGCTCGGCTAACATGGTGGCACACGCAGTGCAAACTCTAACAGCCTCGAATTTGGCAGCTACTTCGGGATCGGTAGCGACTCCTAGCAGCTCAGGAATTTCCAATATCGTGATCCAGTCTCCGACATCTCAGGGATTTCCGAAAGTGCCTGTGCCTGTTCCAGCTGTGGCTTCCAGTAGTGTTGCTGGAGTAGTGTCCCAGTTCCAGTCGGAGCGACTAGCTGCAGAGTCTCAGGACAGAATCAACTCAGTCATTTCTCAGGTTTTGAAGTCTTCAATTCAGCCGCTGGAGGCCTTAACTGCCGCTGCTTTCATGCAAAATGGTTAGTGTTAGCGTTTCTAGGGAATACATTTGCTAATTATTATCCAAGGTGAAATGGTTTTGACAGTTGTAAAATAAACAAATATTTTGCAGTGCCTGATCCGGAAATCGTAGAAGACGTAGTGGACACTTTAGCATCTGAGGAACCTCGAGTGTCGGTTGCTTCGACTGCGTTCGAAATTACGTCTAACACAATGAGCCGTGATGGAAAGCGAGAGGTAAAGGAACTGACTTTACATTTTGCTCCATCGCGCGTTGCTGATGAAAAAGGAAGGAAAGACAACGTAGAATATATTGCACTAAAAGAGTCCAGTGAAAGCAAGCCTTTTGTAGAAACGCTCTATAAAGACTCAAAGATAGAGCAAGTTGAGGGATCTGACATCGGAAAGCAGGAAGCCGAAACCGTAAACGAAGAAGATGAAAAAGAATCACAGGTGTCTTCTTTGGATGCTTCAACAATTGCAGGTGAGCGAGACGGAGACTCCGTAAATATTTCAACAAACAGTGCAATTGCAGATGACTCAGCAGCTGCTCAACTCACTTCGCAGAGTGAAAATTCGGAAGATGAATGCAATAGCTTGACCACTCGGCAAGATAAACATAACATGGAGGGGGACCAAACGATAAGTGGCGAAATCCGGATCCAATCAGACCAAGAAACAGTTGAAAGCACTTCAGTTTTTTGTGAGAACAATGGAAGTTCGAGCACTGAGGCTAATTTAAAGGAAGACGAATACCTAAAGTGCAACAAAGAGAAGAAAAGTGAAAATGATAATCTGACATGCATTTCAGAAATTGAGGAAAAGGTTTCAGGCTCTCGGAAAGACTCTCACTTGGAGAAAGAGACAAAAGATACGAACTTTGGTACGCCTAAAAACTTGGTTGCAATTACGAAAAAAGATGTTGCGAAGCAGTTCCACAGTATTGCCATGGGTGAAAATAGTTTTGTATCCACTTCAAAATTGGGTGAGGCGCCGATGGTATGTAGTAGCAGTACTGTTAGGTCTATAGGGGTAGTGCAAAAAGACGAGCTAGAGGTTAAGTCAGAGGAACTTCCGGCCGATTTATTAACGGAATCACAATCGCCGAAAAACGGAAGCGTCGGAGGAGCAGGGAGCTCAAGTGATGTCAATAAGTTAAAGTTTGATGATGAAAGTGGAGATGAAGTTGACAATGAAAACGAAGCGGATCGGGAAAAGGAGAAAGAGAAAGCAGAAGAAAATACAGAGATTGTTGACTCTGACCAGAAGAAGCCCGAGTCTCTGGAAGCCGCGACTGAACCAGAACCAGCTCTCCAAGTTGAGTCCAGTTGGCTGGTTGCTTCTCTGAATCGAGTGCCAGTTGAGAATGTGGAGCTGGGAATCGATGTCCGGACGGAGACCACTGCGAATGATGATGATGATGGGGGTGGGGACGTTAAAAGTGAAAAGGACGAAGAGAAGAAAGAAAAAGAGAACGACGATGAGACAAAACACAAGACGGAGAGTTCAGCTACATCATCCAATTTCGATTTCTCAAGGGTAATTCTTCATTGTGTTCGAATTTAGACTGCTCGCTCATTTCATATCTATATGAAATAGACTTGAAGAGAAGGTCTATTTTTAAAAAGCGATGTTTTAGACCGTGAAAATGTACAGAATGTCCGTTTCTTTTTCTGTTCCCAGTTTATACGTGCAGCTTCCTGACTTCGAAATCACCTAATTATTAATTTGTGAAGGAAAATGTTGTTCAGAAGAAAAACTGGCGTTAAAGAATAAGAAAATGTTTTATTCATTTTAGTGGTAGACTTTTTTTGCTTGCTTCAGATCAATTTTGATGAAGCAGATTTCAACGAGGATGAAGATAAGAAATGAAAAAACTATATTCAGTCACAGGAAAATGAAAAACTTTTTGAAGATTAGTATACCAACTTCGTATTTAAATTGTAATAACAATTCCTTATAATTTCTAAGTTTCATTTGATGAATTTCTGGACTTTTCTAAATCTCAGTTCAACTATCACTAATTTATAATCACCATTTGATAATACATATTACTCTCTTTTACGTATATTTAATGAGTCTTGATGTCTTAATTTAGAAGAAAACTTCTGCTTCTTTTTAGTTGTAGACTTATGGGTTTTACTGTGTAAATAATTCTTTGGTTTGTTTCAATTGCATTTCACTCATTCGATTCTTCTACTGAAAGTAAATTGCTTTCAAAGAATTTACTAAATCGAAATTTAGATATTTGCAATAAACTTTATACTTATGAGTTTTATCAGGTAGCGGTTTAAGTCTTCTATGAGAAAAAATAATTTTAAGTTAGCTTATTGCCCTTTTGGTGAAAATAGGTTACGTAATATCGAAACGTGGAGTCTTTTTAAATGGTGACAGAGGCTGATTTAGTGATTGAAAACATAGAAAGCTCCCTATTGAAAACAAAACAGTTTTGTCAGTTAAAAACAAGTATTTTGATTTATCCCTTGAACTGAGATGAAAAAAATATGTCAGTGTTTTGCAATGTAGATACTGGAAAGAGTTGTTCTTGGGAAGAATGAAGCATCCGTAATACGTTGGATGCTTAGATAATTGCGGGAAATGGTTTTTCCACGCAAATAGGTACCAGAAAAAAGTTATTAGGATAAACATAATTAGGCATTTTCATAATTAGGCATTTTCAACCATTCGAGCTGAATTGAAAAAATTTGCTGTCATAGATAAACATAATTAGAGATAAACATAACTAGGCGTTTTCAACCATTCGAGCTGAATTGAAAAAAAATTCCTGTCTAGAACAAGCGGTTTAAATTTCTACCGTTCCGGGTGAATTCCGAGCATAGTTTCGATGATATTAACGAAGAGCTGAAGAGTAATTAGGTAATTAACCGCACAAATATCCGATTTGATGACGCTTGCTAATCGAAAGCGTAAACAGATGAAAAAAATTAAACAGCGAGCGAGAAAAATTTCAGGGCGTTTTCAAAAGATACTGCTATGCAGCTAGCATGCTCAATTTCATGAAAATTTTAATACTACTGGTCGGGTACTAGTTACTGCAGGGTAGTTTTAGGGGGAATTTCTTTAAGCAAACAGTTTTTTATTCGGCTCAAAAAATGTCGGACTTGGTTCCGTTTCGTAAGTTTTGCTCAGTTGCTAATTTATATTTCAAGAGTCTTACTCGGCGCGTTTGCCTAGAGTTTCTGTTTCTTAAAAACAGGTATTAAGAAAATATACGTAGTTGGGTTTTGTTTCTTTGAGACGCTTAGTAAAATTTTAACAATTTCTGCAAATAATAACCAATTTAAAGAAGGTATCCATAGAAAAACCGTATGCTCCTTTGTGCGCCTGCACACTCTTCTGGTCTTTTTTTTGTCTTTACCTTTTTATTTAGAGCCTTGATTCTCCTTAAAAGCCATGAATCTAGGAAATGTGAACTATCTGCTTTGTTGACCGTTATTTCGACTTTTCTCGGTAACTATCCTGCCAAGTCTGATATCATAGGTTGAATCGACACAACAGGTTGTTGGAAACTTACCTTTATAATTTGCTACGCCGAGTTGATTCAGAAAAAAGTTATGGCCTTCGAACAAGTGCAAATTTTGAAACTGGCAGTTTTACGTTTTACGAATTGTTTTACTCGAAAATTACCGTGCCAATTTTCAGGTGATTTTTTAATCGAGAATCCAGATTTTGGGATTCTTCTCCACTTAAGCGGCTTTGACCTACTTTTAGCGAAAAACAGTTACCGGTTTCTTAAAGTCAATTTATTGAAAATTGACCGCTTGTTAGAAATTTTTTAAAATACTCTATTAAATTTGAGATGAGAATTTCAATCAAAAAAGCTGTTGCGCGAAATTTTCCGGCAGAAGCGGTTGCGCCTCAATTTTTTGTGAGAGATATGTGTAATTGAGACAACTGTGAAATCTATAGCAGTTTCACTCTTCTTCATTTTAGTAGCGAAACAACTAAGTTTTGGCATAGTCAAAATTTTGAGGTTACGCATTTCGTCCTATTCGATAAACTAAAAAAATATCAAAATGTACCTCCAGCTTCAGCGAAGCTCTAGGTGTTCTTCATCGATTTCTACGAAAACTGTTGTTCACCTAGTTTTTCTTCAACCTTTTTTTTTTCTTTTTTTATGTTTTGTTATGATAGTGTTGTATTGCGCGAGGTGCGAAGCTCCGCTTCGCCAATGTGTTTTAAATTCTTTCCACGTCCTTATCTCTTTTTCTGTCGATCCTTTTGTCACGTTATGTACGTTTTGAATCGCATGTAATGCGCAGCTATGCGTCTTTTCTGTTTGTAAGTTTTCTCATGATGCAGTTAATTTGGTTCCAAGATTTCGGCTTTTCTTGCTACTTTTTTCTACTGTTTTTTTTCGTGGAAAAATTTCCTGAACTTTTTTTCGATTTGCCGGTTCATCTGCCAATAGTGGCTTTTATTCAACTTTCTTTAGCAAGTGGTTTGAAACTCTGCCTTGCCTCTGTGCTGCTGATTGGTGTTTGGAAAATGGATAATAGAAACAATTGGCAAGACGTAAATCTGGAAATATGAGTGTACAAGATTCGAAACACGTAGGCTGCAATTCCTTTATTCTTCAATACTACTGTATTTTCCGACCATTTAATTAGGTAGGCTTTTTTTTCTTCGGGTGTGTTTTAGTTTTTCCGTTTTTTTTTCTACGCCCAATCAGGCACCTCGAATAATGATAGGAATGGGTCAAGTGTCGTATCATTTGAAAGCCTTTTCAGTCGTGACTCAAACAAAATGGAAAGTTACTGAATTTTTTTCTCAGTGTCAAGACAAACAAGTTTGAAATTTTTGACTTATGTTTTAACTAATTTTGAACGAAAAGAGCGAGCGAGACGCTTCTTCTGGAAAGATTTTTTCAGCTTCTTCTACCGGCTGCGCGACTTTTTGCCCAGCGTATCAAGTTTTCGAATCAGACCAGCTCATTTGAGCACTTAAGCTTTCGGACTACTTTTTTCAGCTTGTTTTTTGTCGGCCAAGTTTGAACAGCATTCAATTTTCTTCTGAATTGAGCAATTCTGATCGTAATTTTTAGTCATTTTGATTTAAGAAAGGATTTAATGAAGTTACCTTACCTAATAGGTTGTAGGTAAATCAAAAATATTTCGCCCAATTAAGAAATTTTTAGTTTTTACACACTTAACATTTATTAATTTTCTTAAAACTTGTTCATCAATTAAAGAAAGAAAGGAATGGCGCATTATGTGTTTAGCTATATGAAATTATGAATTTATGATGTTAAAATTTTTCCTGAGGTTAAATTTATAATTTTTTTGATTTTACAACGAGTATATGTTGTTAAAAATGTTGTGTCAAATCACAAGTGATGGGACGGCTTTGCTTCTTTGTTTCTTCATAGAGCAAGCTGAAATTTTTTGACTGACTAGATTGTTTACTCAATTCAGTTTTCGACCAAAGCATTATAAGATCGGTCCACTTTATTTTCAACGATGAAAATTCATGTTTCTTCTTGAATAGTCATCACATTTAAGAGTAATGACCGTAATGAGTACTCTTATATAGTGCTGATTTTTTTTAGAAAAAAGCTCTTTAAAATTTGTTCACGCTCAATTTTGATTTTTCGCGGTTTGACTTGTGATTTACATGTCAGTGAAGATCAGGGCAATTAAATTGTTGAAACTTGTCGTTCGATGAGGAAGGCAAACTTCATCATCGAACGACAAAAGTGTAAAGCTCACGAAAAACGTGATCCACTTCTAATTTATAAAAAGGAAATTAATTATCAGATTTCCCAGCGAATAAAAGTTTGTTGTCGGCTTAATTGTCATTTTTTTGAATCTTTTTTTTTGGTGCGCTATTGTTTCGTTAAGGTTTTTTTTAGTGTTTGATTTACTCCTACAATTTACTCCTACAACTTACTCCTCCTTTTTTTATCGTCTAATGACCTAATTTTGGGTCGACGGAAAAAACACAATTTGAACAATCCTCCTTTTTTTCAAGCTATTTATATGTTTAACAATCCGATTGCTGAAAAAAAATTTTGTTATGGAAAATTATTTCCAAATTTACTGGAAAAGTTTTAGTTTTTTCAGAACCTTCTACTGATTTTCAACAAAAAGGGTATCGATTAGAAGACCGCCAACTCTCTTGTGTGCCTGCATATTCCCCTAGAGTCTCTTTTCACGTGACTCTTCTGTCTTCAGCCTTCGAAAAAAAATCTGGGGGGGGGGATAGTTGACCCATATTTTGGCCCTCGAAATAGTCAAATTTTAAATTTTGACCGTTTTGTGAATCCTACTGACTTTTTTTCGAAAACTAACCGCTCAAATCTGATATTGTGGGTTCAATGGATATAATGGGTACTGGGAACCGCCTTTGCATTAGAGGCCACTCACAAAGTTTTTTACTCAAAAGTTTATCGCCCTCGAAAAAGTCAGTTTTGATTGTTGTCCGTTTTTTAAAATTTTTGATTATTCTCAAAAACTACCCTGCCATATCTGAAATCAGAAAAAGTTGTGGAAACTCATTTGCTTATGCGACTACGCCCTATCTATGATGACACCAAAAGTTATGGTCCTTGGAGAAGTCAAAATTTTCATTTTTTTTGAACGTTTTTTGGACTTTTCTCGTAAACATCCTGTTAAATCTGATATAATAGGTTTAATCAAAAAAACAGGTTCTTGAAAACTATTTTTTCTAATTGACAGTGCCCAGTTGATTTATGGTATTCAAACAAGACAAAGTTCGGAAGCTTTGACAGTTTTCTGCAATTTTTTGACGTGCAATTTTCTCTTTGTAGATTAAAGTCGAGGATTTTCGAAATTCTTTTTTTAGAGTTTTCTTAAAATTTACACAGTCAGATATCTGAGATGAAAAGTTCAACTGAAAGCACCGGTTGCGAAAATAGTTCTTGAGAAGCAGCGGCTCCTTGTTTTGTAAGATGAAAGTTATCTCTTTGGGAAAATCGGTTATCACAAAACATTTTAGTCTTCTCCTTTATTTTATTAGAGAAACAACTAAGGTTTTAGGCAGGGTCAAACTTTTGAAATTACACGTTTAGCTTGGACTCTAGTTGTTTTGTATCGAGACATACGTTTTTTTTTGGTTCACCTAGTGTTTGTTAATATTTGAAAAACAATTTTGCGTTTTTGTTCTTTTTTGAATGTTTGTGTTGTATCGCAAGTGGTGCA